GAGTTTGGGATGTTACACACACACACTCTCTCTCTCTCCTTCTAGAGTCTCTCTATCCCTCTCCCTCCTCTCTCCCCCCCTCTCTCTCTCTCTCATAATCTCTCTCTCCCTCCCTCTCTCCCTCTCACTTTCTCTCTCCTTTCTCCCTCTCCCTCTCCCGCTCTTATCTCTCTCTTATTCCTCTCTCTTATTTCTCTCTCTCTCTGTCTCTCTCTCTCTCTCTCTCTCCCTCTCTAGTCTCTCTCTCTCTCATTCCTATATCTCTCTCTATCTCTCTCTCTATCTCTCACTCTCTTTATAGCTCTCTCTCTGTCCCTCTCTCTCTCTCTCTCTCTCTCTCTCTCTCTCTCTCTCCCGCACTCCCTCTCCTTCTCTTCCTTTCTCTCTTCTCTCTCCCTGTCTCGCTCATCTCTCTCTCTCTCTCTCTCTCTCTCTCTCTCTCTCTCTCTCTTATTCCTCTATCTCTCGCTCTCTCTCTCTCTCTATCCATCTATCTCTCTTCTCCTCTCACTCCCTCTTTTCTTCTCCTCTCTCTATCTTATTCCTCTCTCTCTCTTTTCTCTCTCTCTCTCTCTCTCTCTCTCTCTCTCTCTCATGCACGCGCATGTGAGTTTTCTTCTCTCGAAAATGAGATCCAACCACCTGAATTTATCGTATTTGCTTGTGGGCTATGGTGGGGGATTACTAGCAGTCACCCCCTCGTCACTCATCGAGTAGCGACGTAGGGAGAGATGGTGATGGTATTGGAGATTGGTCTGGAAATAGCGATGGAGGAAAGAATGCAGTTAGGGGATGTAGTTTAGGAGTTGATATAAATAGCATAGGTGGTAATGGTGAGAGGAGATTTTCTTTGGTCTGAATTATTAGAAATTAGAGCTGAGGAGAAGACACTTGTTTACATTCGATCTTCAGTTAAAGCTAGAGTTGCTCACTTTCTTAGTTCTAAAGCTTCATAGAAGGTCATCACACAGAAGACGATATCGAGTGAGGAACTGGATGCTGAGTTAAAGGCAGAGAGCCATGAGCTGGTTGATGGGATTTATTGATGCAGGACTCATTTGAGCTGGATGAGGTGATGGAAATATTGGGTGGAAGTGAGATTGAGGAGTTTATTAGAGAGGTGAATGATTGTGCTGGATCATTGAAACTAATAGTGCGGAACTGGGATGCTGCTAGTTCTGGAATTCATGGTGAAATGTCTGTTGATACATAACATATTGAAATGGTTTATTCAGAAGAGAAGGCAATGTTTGCCTCTATTGATCAAATTGAGATAAGGAAAATTCTTGATAACCCGATGTTTGAGCTTGACAAAATCAATATTACTTTTGGGAGTTTGAGTTGTATCGAGGATCTGAGAAAGGGGTCACTGGGCCGTAATGCTCAGGATGCTAGAATGGACACTGAGCTTAATAAATCAAGGATCAATTTTGGTGTTCTTGGCCATATATATGAGGTGAAATTCCAAGATCAATCAGCTAGGGGCGATTGTGTTGATTATGGTGGTAGTGATTTCCTTATAGCTGCAGAGCAAGCTCTAGATGTTCATAGAAATGTTTATGCAGAAGTTATTTCCCCAAAAAAGTCACTATTAATGCCAAGTTCTTTTAGGCTAGGCAAAAAGGAACTTGATGAAATTAAAGCTTCTTCTAATGCATGGAAAAAATCTATGCCAGTCAAGTTGAGCTTACATGATGATGTTGGAAGCTTTTTGAGGGAAGATGGATTGGTGAGACTAGACTTAAACAAATCCAGGAAAATATTCAAAAACTTGACAGAGCTTTAATTGGTAGTCTTTTGGGATGCTGATTGCCATTTTGGGTTATGAAGAAGGAGGTCCAAAGGAAATGGGGGCACCTTGGCTTAACACAAATCATTCCTATGGGATCAGATTGTTTGTTATGTTGGTTTGAAAACATGGAGGCAAGGAACAATGTTTTGATTGGGGGGGCCTTTGTATATAGCAGGCCAAATAATTTGAGTAGAACATTAGACTACAGGCTTTTCATCTAAATCCAGGAGAAGGTTTACATCACCAGTTTGGATCAGGCTTCCAAACTTTCCAATGGAATACTGGGATGAGGCTAATTTTTGTGAGGTTGGCTACAGGTGTGGTAGAACCTTTATTCATGGATAAACAAACTAAGTTGTGGAATAGGTGTGCTTTTGCACACATTTGTTTAAGATTGGATTTGTCAAAGAAGCCTCCTAAAGGAGTGTGGGCACAAGGGTTGGAGGGGACATTCTTCCAACAAATTGAATATAAGGGGATTCAAGTAATCTTCTTGGGATGTGGCAAGGTTGGACACAAAACAGAGTCGTGCAAGGAGACTTGTGATCAGCTTAAACAGTACTGGCCGAAGACTACTAGTGTATAGAAACAGAACAATTCAGCAGATTTAGAACTTGGTACGGTGGATGGCACTATAGTTGATGGAGAAGATAATTTTGCTGCTAAAGCTAGCTTTTTTGGTGTGAGTTCTTCAGGTATTGATAAATACATGGGAGAATGGATTATTGTAACTAGAATAAGGAGATCCAACAATGCTCGAGTTGGGTACTGAACACAAACTGTGAATGCTAGACCTGCTGCCCCAGTTACAACTCCTAAAATAGTTTGGAGGGAAGTAAAGTTCAGAAGAATGTAGAATCTGCTGGTAAACATAAGGTTTAGATTAATGAATTGGGTAAGAAACCTACTCATTCTAGTGGTGTGGTGAAATCACAATTGCATATTAGTCCTGATATTATGGATCAAGGTGGCTTGATCCATCCTCCTTTACAAAATGAACGTGTTAATTAGCTACACGTGCAGGATGCCAGTCTAGGTGGTTTGTTATATCCACCTATATAGAATGTGGAAATGGTGGCTCTCAGCCATATGCAAAACTTGGAGTTGCAGTTAGGAAGCTGTGAGTCCCGTGGTGGAGTGAAGCATGCTAGTGATAAGAGATCGGTAGAGAAAAAGAATTGGAAAGATCCAAAATCTGTGATCTCTCCATAACAACTTTTAATTCACAAAGTATTGAAATTCTCAGATATCAAATTGGGAGTGTTGAAGGCTAAGAGCAAGCAAGTTAGAAATATCAAATCTGGGTTCTCTAAGGAGTTGGCACATCTTGGCCCATTATAGAAATTACCTGGTGTTAGGAGAAGCAAAAGTATGGAGGCTGAATTGTCAACATCTTCTTTGGAACAATTGGTTAATTTTATTGATTAAATTGATGGAGAGAAGGGTGATGTTGACATTGGTGGAGAGGCTATCTTCCAAGATGGTTTTATTGACAACATGTGCGGCGGGGACTCTTCCCCATTAGTGGATCATGTTTAGCCTTTTATGCTGGAACTGTAGAGGTGCTCGTAAGAAGGAGACATGTAACTACTTACGACACTTAATTGGAGAGCAGAGTATTAGCTTTATTGGGCTATTGGAGACTAAAATGGCTACTTTTTCCAGAAAGGACATCGACAAGCTTGTAGGTAGAGTGTGAGTTTGCTTTTCAGTCTGCAGTGGGTCGAACAGGTGGCATTTTAGTTCTGTGGAAGAGCAAGGTGGTGTCTTTCTAAGTTATTTTTCAGGCCAATCAATGTATTATTGGAAGACTTATATCTGGTAATAAAATTGATTGGGAGGTGGTAGTGGTGTATGCAGACAAAGACATGTATATAAGAAGGTAAGTTTGGGAGGAAATCCCTTTCATTTTTCCTCTGCATCAAGTGAAATATGTGAATTTGTGGATGCCAATGGATTGATTGATCCGGGATTTTCTGGGCCGACTTTCATTTGTTCTAACAATTAGGATGCTAAGAGTCGTATATATTCAATATTGGATAGATTCTTGATTAGTTCTTCAATCCTTGATTCTTTTTATTGATTGAAAGTAATGCACCTTACCAGATTAACTTCAGACCGCTGTCTGATATTGTGTGCTGTCCAAGGAGAATTAAGGAGGGCTTACTCTCATTGGATAAAGTTTGAGGATATTTGGGATAGCTACCCAAAGGCCTTGCAATTGGTGTGGGATAAGTGGAAGGTGGAGGATATGGGCAGGTTAGCTTCTAAGCTTCAGAAGAAATGCAACAGGACTTTGAAAGCTTTGTTCTTTTGGAGTAAGAACAAACTTAGATTTTTTAATCAACTTAAGGAGGAGCTAGGCAAGGAGATAAAAATTCTAAAATAATTGGAATGCTTGCCAGATGGATTGAAGGAAGTTCAGACTGATGCCTTGACATATAAGGTTCAGTTACTGAATAATAATCTAGCTAGAATTATGACATGGTGGAGGCAAAGAGCTAAGGTAAAATGGATTGAGGAAGGGGATGGAAATACCCATTTATTTCTTTCCATGGCTTCGGCTATAAGAAGAACTAATGGTATTGAAACCATGAAGCAGCCTGATGGTTCTATTCTTATAGAATAAAGGGATATTTTGAATGTCATTCATTATTTTTTTGAACATAAATGGCATGGGCAAGGCACTATTGAGGATGGGTGACCGTCCCTTGAAGCCCAAAGGAATTGTCTGGAACCTTTTTGGAGAATACTTGATGGTGAGGTCACTAAAGAGGAGAAATGGGCTGTTGTGAACTCTTTTGGTCGAAATATTGCACCTGGTAGAGATGGGGTAACGACATCTTTCTTTAAGTTCTTTTGGGAGATAGTTGGGGAGCAAGTCTTGAGGGATTGTTTGGATTTCTTTTCTTGTGGTTTCATGGATCCAGTTTGGAAGGAAACGGTTATAGTGTTGTGCCTAAAGTTTTGAACCTAGATCATCCTTAAAAATTTAGGACAATTAGCCTTTGCTAAACAATCTATAAGATTATTGTGAAGGTGCTAGTCAACCGGATTAAAGGGGTGTTGCCAAGGCTTATTTCTGAAGAAAAAGAAGCATTTGTACCGGGCAACTCATTTTCCAACCACTGCTTACTATGTCAGGAGTTGATGAATAGATTCAAAGTTTCCAAGTTAGCTTTGGATTTTTTTGGCTTCGAAGGTATACATGGAGCAATCATATGACAAGATGAGTTGGAAGACTTTGGAGCTTGTTCTCAAACATATGGGTTTCCCTCCGAGGTTCACCTCTTGGGTGCTTAGTTGTGTCCAAAGTCCAAACTTCACAATCCTTATAAATGGACAGTTAACGGAGGGGATTACTATAGATTGTGGGTTTCGTCATGTGTTCCCTTTGTCACCATATTTATTCATTCACTGTTATGAGCTTTTGTCTGCCCACATTCATCAGAACTTCAAAGAGTTGGGTGATCCAATTTATGGTGAGGGACCTCCTGTCTCCAACCTTCTTTATGTTTACGATATTTTACTTTTTACAAGGGCCTCTATTCCAAATGTGAGGAAGATTACATCAATTTTGAAGGACTATTGCTCATGGACCGGCCAAAGGGTAAAAAGGAGTAAATCTGCTATTCTTTTTAGCAAGAGGACCTCCTCTACTACTAGGTCCCGACTTGCAAACATGACTGGTTGTAGGATGGTGGATGAGTTGGATTATCTTGGCATTAAGTTGGAACTGAGAAGACATGTGAAGAAGGACTTTGGTCCATTGTTGCAACAAGCTCGAGCCAAGACCTTATCAAGGGGAACTAGGCATCTTTCCCTGGCAGGTAGAGTCACTTTGATTAATGCTACTTTACTTCCATCATTGGTTTATTTGGTTACTCATACTCTAGTAACAAAATCTATTTTCAATGATGATGAGAGGTTATGTATAAGCTTTCTATGGGATTTTGATGCTAAACATAGGAGCATTCATTATATTGCTTGGGAAAGTGTTGTTAGATCAAGAAGGTTGGGCAGTCTCTGGTTCCATGCAAGTGCTGAATGGGTTGGATCATTAAGATCACAGATTGCTTGGGAATTTATTAACAAACTGTTGAATTTGTTCTAGAGATGTGTGAATATGAAATATGGGAGCTGGCCATGGAATGCTGAGCTGAAGCATGGTGCTTCGGCTGTTTGGAAGTTGATCTGTGACGGGGCTAGCAGCTTATGCTACTGCTTGCATTGGAAGGTATGTAATGGCACGAATGTTGATGTTATAAATCATGTATGGATTTGGGATAGAGCCCTCTCGGTTTGGCCTATATTCCGTGACATAGAAGCTATTGAAGATCTTATGGTTGTAGACCTCATTTTGTTGGATGGGGTATGGAATGTGCAAAAGCTGCTTCTTTATTTTGTAGAGAGTCTAGCTATTCAAATTATGGAGATTGAAATTTGCAAGGACCTAAATGAAGACTACTTTGTACTACTAAAAAGCCTACTTGGATCCACTGTTTCAGCAATTGTCTATAACAGCAGATTCCAGGAGGATGACGGCACGAGCTATGCATGTTTAAAATATGTATTGAGGGCTCGGGAGAGAATTTTTTGGTGGAGAATCTTCAAAGATATAATTCCAATGAATAGTTAACTGCAAAACTATGGGTTTATGGTAAATTTAAACAGCCCTATTGGTTGTTGTGTGATTGAAAATAGGGATCATATTACTATAGGTTGTAAACAACATTGGGAAGTTTTGAATGTGCTGAATAGTTGGTGGTTTTATACCCCACGGTTTACATGTTTTATGGAGCAGCAGTTAGCATTGGAAAACAATGTCAAGGTTAATGATATTTCGATGTTGCTTTGCTGTATTGCAGTTTATCATAGCTGGATGAATATGAATTCGATCAGGCATGGCAAGGAGAGTTATACGCCTGATTTATGGCAACAAGTATTTTAGAAGTTCTTAATCAAGGTCGGCTTTCATTCCACTTGGACCAACGGGTTGCTATTCAATCTTTCCACAACAGGTTGGTTGAAGGTGAACATTGATGGAGCTCTTCTTAGTTCTAATGCTGGGGGAATTGGCATTGTTATTTGGGACAGCATGGGCAAGCTGATTGTTGCAGTTGGTTGGAGTATTTTCCATTGGGATAGTACCCAGGTTGAGATGATATAATTTCATGATATTTATAAGCTATTTTGGATTGGATGTATGAACTCAAAGGGATTATTGTGGAAGGGGATAAAGCAAGTGTGATTAAGTACATGCAAAAGTTCAAGTTTAAGATACTGTAGAAGAAACAACCAGATGAATGGGAGAAATGGAGTTGGATAAATTTGTTCTAATAGGTGCTGTTTGTGCATACATACATAAGGTTCAACATGGAGGACCATTTTTGTGCTCAAAGAGCAATAGTTGGTTCTTTTCTTCGGTATATAGGAGATAGAAATAATTGTATTCCTCAAGAATTTTTTATATTCTTGAGGATGATAGTAGCTCTCTCTCTCTCTCTTGCTTAACGGCATATTAGCCCTCTCTTTACTTTACTTAGTTGTAATAGCTTTTTGATGAATGTAAATGCAAAAGTTCATCTCTCTCTCTCTCTCTCTCTCTCTCTCTCTCTCTCTCTCTCTCCCTCCCTCCCTCTCCCTCTCTCGCTCCTCTCTCTCTCTCTGTCTGTCTGTCTGTCTCTCTCTCTCTCTCAATCTCTCTCCCCTTTCTCTCCCTCTCTCTCTCTCCTTTCTCCCTCTCTCACTCCTCTCCCCCCCTCTCAAGCGGGGGCGGTGGTGATGGAACGAATGGCGGTGAAGAGCGACGACGATCGGGAGTGGGATCTGGTGGTTTTAAGAAGCAAGGAGATCGATCGGGAGCTGGATCTCCCAGCAAACCCGTGATAGCTAAGACGAGAGTGAAAGCTCGGGAAGCTGCAAAATCTGGACCGGAGGGATCAGTGGAGGGTCGATGGGAAGTGAAACCGAGAAATATGGATCCAAAGGGGATTCTACAGATCGGGAAGAATGGATCGGACCGGAGCAAATCTGATGGAGCTAGGAGGGAGGTTCATCCTCTGAGGGAGACGATGGAGCTGGAATCGAATTCGGGTGTGAGTTTGAAGTTCAACCCGAAGTTTATTGCGTCGGCCTCTTCTATGGAAGTTGAAGACACAGCTATGATCGAGGATAGCGGTGAAGCAATGGAAGAAACACTTGACGTGAATGATGCAATGCCGGGACGGAAATGTCATATGGAGGTGAGTGCGGATGTTGTTGATTGGAGTAATAAGATGATGAATGATGCTTCTGTGGAGGAAGGAATGGCGGTGACGGAAATGGAGGTATCTGTAAAAGATGTTGCAGGTGTGATCGGAGAAGGGAGCATCTCCTCTGGTTTGAACAAGCCAATTAGATGCACGTCTGATGCTTGTAGGAATGCTGATGTTGAACAATCAAATGTAAACTGCGGGGAGAACCTTTGGAAGGGGGTGACCCCGAGAGTTTCATTTGCTGCTAGTATGGGGAATCCGTGGAAGAAGCCTGATCATGTCCCAATCCTGCATCGGAAGACTTCAATACTATTTCAGGAGATGGGATCTCCATTGATTTGAATTTGGACAGAGTCAGAGCTAATATGGAAATGCTTGATCGAGCAGTGGTGGGGAAGATTCTGGGTAGAAGAGCTTCATTCTTCTTGTTGAAATCTGAGATCCAAAGACAATGGGGAAGGTTTGGAGAGTTTCAGCTCACCTCTTTGGGTG